CAATCTCCCACCCCAGCCCCAGCGCTTTGGCTTTCATTCTCCAGAGCACTGCAATTCTGGTGTAGAAAACCATACGAGATGGATGAGCATACAGCATTTCTCTTCCCTGGTAGAGCACCTCTCTCATTGGCACAGATTAAAGACTGAGCAGTAGCAGGCAGCGAACATGAGGACAGTCACTCTGTAACTGAGAGTCACCTGTGGATGTATTAACCCTCCTTGCTTCACTGGCACCCCAATATGACTTAAAACATCCTTTATACTGCTTTAAAATAATCCTGGCAAATAGCTGTAAATCCTGAAAAACTGAAAGCAAAAATTAGTTTGAGACTACAATAAATCATAAATTCCAAATTCTGACAAAAAAAACACCCGTTATTTAATGGATAACATAATCCACTTATGCATAACATTTCATCCCTAAAATGATAACTAGATGCTACGGCTATATTTGATTCTGCTAAGAGACGGACTGGTGCTTCCCAGGGTCCTTTCCAGCCCTATTTTTATGATGCTGTACTGAATATCTGAGTGAAATCATCAAGATGTTTGCATAACAGATCTGTATGCCCAACCAACCCGATGTGTGCCAGCTAAGATACTGCCCATAGGGAAAGGCAAACAGAAGGCATGCATTTGTGGCTATTTGAGAAAAGGAGATGTTTCAACCTATCAGAGCAATTTGTCATGGATATAAAGGTTAAGTGGGCATCCATGAGGTGCTTAAAGAAAAAAGTATGTTCAGGCTGATGAACTACAACTGAGCTGATTTTATAAAAGGACAAGTTAGTTAGACAACAAAAATGCCCTGTTTTGTCACAGACTGCTGACCTGCAACTTGAAGTAAGCTGCAGATTTTGTGCATTATGTACAATAACAACAAAAAGGATTTCTGTTTTTAGGCAAATTCCAGCCTTCTGGACAGTGACTCACAGAGCTTTACATTTTTAGTTTTTATTCCTTTGGAGTCTTCAGATTAATAAAATAGAAAGTTTGAATGGCCTGAGTAAGAAGGGAGTGTGCTCAGCCTCAGGTGCACAGAGCAAAAGAGTCCTCAGCTCCAGACAGGAATGCTCAGGTAGCTGCTCCTAGGCCTTACAGCAGGTTCTACAGGAGCAGCTACAACTTACAAGTGGTCTTCTACTGCTGACTTGACCAAAACCCCTCAACCACTTAAGTACTGCACAATTAAAGATTTCACAGTTCCCCGCAGCATGAAGAAAACCAGCATCCTCCTCTAAAGACTCCCAGCAGTTTTTATCCACGAAGCAGAAATGCACATCTATCCTGCCTTTCTGCCTTCGTGTAGATACAGACGAGCCTGACCTGAAACGGAATCTAAAATATCCACGTATCAACCCACTGCACATACAATTTGCCCCTACTGGAGCAGAATGCTCAACTCCATTTGCTCTGGCTGAGAACATGAATCTGCAGATTGTTGCCTGTCTATAAAGGCAAATTATCAATCAATGTATGGTCTGAAGTGTAAAGGATTACTTGTGTATTTTGTCCTGATTTATGTATCCATGGATGTTATTTATTACAATTCTTTACTGGATCAACTTCAGTGGATTCAAAGTGATTGAGGATCACCATTTTGAGCCACATTAAAAAAAATAACCTGTAGACTCAGAAAAATCATGAAAGCTGAAAAAAGATGCAGATGTTCTGACAACTGAAAGACAAATTCAAGTTTTCAGGACGTACAACTGCTATCAGCAAACACAAGGGAAAACAGGTTCTGAGAACATTCGGCGTAACACTCTATCCTCTTCCAAATCCTTTTATAACTAAACCTTTGTAGTTCTTAACCTGACATCAGAGCAGCAAGGAAAAAAAAGTCCTCACTTTTGGATTTGGAGACTGCTCCTAATAGTCTATATGGTTCCTCTTGTGTCTTCCTTTGAAAAACACTAATGTGCATGACTCTCCCCTTCTGCAGTATAGCAGTTCCTATGTTCAGGGCTGGAAAGCATTTCCTGATGCTGTTGAACATTTTGACATTAGAAAGGACCAAAATAAGATACAGATACTGAGATGCTGAGCTGTGAGGGAAACGGGGACAATGTGGAGGACACATTTCTCACAGGTGATGATTGACATTTTTGCATTTTTACTTGAAAATTAAATCTTTCATTTGGTTTGGTTTTACTAAGACTGTTATGCAGGTAACTGGGAAACCAAGTAAACTGCAGGATGATTAGATAAGTGATGTCTGGTCTGTTTCCATTAATTCAGGACTTTTGATCCTGTAGTTGTTACCTATCATGGACAAAACAAAATCTGTTACAGGACTTAATACAACTCTTACGTTTTGCTAGCTTAAACTTGCACATCTAAGTGTAAAGAGACTCTAGAACAGACTCCAGTGAAGTGCTCTGAAGAGAAAGATGGGGATGCAATTCTGTGCTTAACAAGAAGCAAGCAAGACCACACAGATCAAAGATACACAAAACACATAAGGTCACTGAGGAGGACTCCTGCTAGACTGCTGCTTTACATGGACCAGGCTAACCAGACGTGGAAGTTATTTTCAAGCATGTAATTACCATCCAGCAACAGATTTGCTACTTGCTTTTCTGATAGGAATAACCAGTAAGTTAGCACCAATATAAAAAAGTATTTTGTCAGGTCCAACAGGCACACAAAAAAAAACCAATAAACCAAAACCACCTACAAAAAGGAGAAATAAGACAAATTTTTGTAGGAACTTATCAGAACTGCTATAGAGAAATGAAAGGAGATGATACTAGTGAAAGCAGACAAATTAAGACTACCTTGTTTGACACGTATTTAATGCCTCTGTTCACAACATTGTCCCTAAGGCAGAATCAGGCACAGCCATCCAGGACAGAGCTGTTCCCTGAAGGATGCAAAGGAGACAGATTGCTTATTCAAGCAGCCTCCTGTCACTTGCAATTCAAAGCACCGCTTTACTTTCTGAGGTCGCTCAGAACTCTCTTGTGACTGAAGTCATAACTTCAATTTATTTATTCCATATCCTGTTTACTAAGTCAGCATGCTAACCTTTCACTGCATCACATGGCTTCTTTTCTACACTACAACAAATCAGCCCTTCTACTTATGTCTTTGTAAGCACATTGTCAAGATTTGTTCCACTTCAACACCAAAGCTAAGTGCTGACCTTGTGGCCTGCAAGCAAGATATCACTGTAGCAACTTGATGCTCTGGAGATACTGTATGGTTTTCCTTCTCCTCCTCCTTACTGTTCTGCCCTCCTGCCAGAAGTTGACTTTACAGGAGAGTGATTCCTTTTGAGAGGACACAGGGCTGCCACTATTGTCCTGACTCGGCACACTCCAAACAAAACAAGGACCAACCACACAAAGAGACATCTGTAATGCTTTCTGCAGAACACAAAATAAACAGTGAAGCTGGCCTGGTAGCAGCAACACAGCCCAGGCCTTTGCTCTACGTTTGGCAGGAGCTGCTGCCATGCCTGCATAGGAAGGAAATGTTTTCTTTTCACCAAACCTCTGCCACATCCAAGAACCCCAATGATACGACACAGGAGCTGACTTGAGAAGTGGATGAAGCCTGTTAAGATTTTACTTTTAGAAAATAGCCAGTATTCTCCCAATGCAGTATACACAGATTTTTCTAGGTTCCTAACAACCTAGATGTGACTATTACACCTCGAGTAATACAGAAACCAAGATCCTGAGTTGAACTAATTTGAAGATAAATGTCTTACTCGGAAACAGGAAACTGCAGAATTAACCAAGGTCTGTATCACAAACCAACTTCAAACATGTAAAACAAAATCACCAAATGAAGGATTTAATCACAGAAACTGTGATTAAAAAAAGCCATGATTCTTGTTCTCAGAAATTCATGATGAGGCACTGTACACTAAAATGCAGGATGCTGTTATATAACCAAGCATCTGGGGAGATTAACCCCATTTAAAAAAACAGTTCTCTGGGAAAAGCAGCTATTTACTAGAACAAGGATGATGGCAGAATAAGCTACCAGATTTGTGCAGCTGAGTCAAGTTGGATGTTTGGAAGAACATCCAGAACAACAGAAACGTTTACCTTGCATCTCCTAAGAGATGCACAGTAGAAAGCTCCCACTAATTTCCCACCAAAGATACAGAGCAGTATGTTTATAGAGGGAGGACTCAAATGACCTGGAACATTCAGGAATGTTTCTTCACAGTACCTAAGGAAAGGAATTCAGAGAAGCCACATAGGAGAGTGTCCTGAGCAACATCGTGAATACGAACAATGGCAGCTGTGGGCAACAACAGGGAGACAAGAGGCCAGGAGGAAGATACAGCCAAGCCAAGGGCTGAGTGAAAAACCCTTTGGCTGAGCTGGAGATAAACACTGTGCTGGGGTTCTCTTCCTATGTTGCAAAGCTATCCTCCCACTACCTATAGTCACTTCAACCCTCAATCTCAACACACACTTAACTGATTTCTGTACTACAGCTCTATTTCACCAGTCTGAAATTCAACATAATTAAAACAGCTAAAGCTTTTCCTGACAGTTTTCTTGCATTCAAACACATGTGCTCATTCTTCCAACTATAAAGCATCATTACTACTTGCAAGAAGTCTGCTCCCTGCACTAAACAGAATTGCTTAACTGGTTTATAAAGCATTCACTGTAACTGCTTTTGGGCACAAACAAAGCAATCTTTTTATTTTTTCCTCAGTTAAGTGTCAGAAGTGTCAGAAGTATCCATTAGCACAGAATCTGTCCAAGAAGAATTCTGTTGTATTGCTGTTACTACAGGAAAGACAAGAAAAGTAATCTCAGACAAGGACATATGACTTGGCAGACATGTGAAGCAGAGATATCAGCCTAATATTCCAAGAACAAACGTAACAGTGCCAGCAAGCTGACAGCTACAGTTCATGTGCATCTGCTGCTTCCCATGAACTCCACTTTGCTGAAGTGTGAAGTTAGACACTTAACAATTCTATCAAGTTAAGGCATTAAAGAAAAAACTCAGCACTCTGAACCCATATTAAAAAACCCCAACCTTTAATACGTTTTTTTCCAAGATCTAATATATAAACGCAATGGTAATAATGCACTCTTCCTTTGTAAGCTTGGATGAAATATATTGAAGTCCACTTTTCGCACATTACATAAATAATCGTCTAAGGCAACCTAGAAAAGAAGAAGAAAGCTTAATCCATATGGTGCACACAACAAAATGGGCATTAAGTTTAAAAAGCAATACATGAAACCAAATGAGGAACTGCAAAAAGGCTTGATGATTCGCCTGTTTCATTAAGCAGTAGCATAACCATCACATTTAAAGGATATATAAAAGGCAGGATTTGTGAAGAGAAGCATTATCCTGTATTAGACCAAACAGCAAATTTTAAAAATAGACAAGATTTCTGGGCCCCTGCACCAGAATAATGGTCTACAAATATGCAAACATCTTGGGCACGACGATGTAGTTAAAGAAGGATTAGAAGTACTGATAAAAACCATGAGGTTCCACAAGCAAGCATAATGATTTTCACAAGTTTTAGGGATTACATACTCCCCCCAACCAGACACATGAAGCATTAGTTAACCATGCTTAATTTGATACTCTTCATAAACATACTAGCACAGAAATGAGTCCATCACTTAAAGAGTGCATGATATCACACCCACCGTACAGAAAAAAGCAGGATATGCCTTCACAGGAACTTTCTTACTGAAAGACCTAGCCTGAAAGTAAATGGGGTAAGGTGGGAGAAAGAAAAACAAAACCAAACATACTTATCAGGAGAACTTAACATTTCACATTAAACATCAAGTACTATATGTAAAGGTTAGAGGCAACAAAGTGCATTACGAGCTTCATCCCTCTTTATTTTGATATACTGAAACTATGATTTTTCATTATGTGCAAGCCAGCACCATCCCTTGCTGCATACTAAAGGAATTACACAGAAAGTATGCAATGCTGGGAGAGTCCTGCTAAAATTCTTACATGGTTTGACAACCTTACAGTTTACATATAATAAACCAGTGTAAATTAGAATCCCTTGTTCCAACAAACTTCCATGTTACTTCTGATTTAATAAATACAGTTTAACCCTCCTCTCCTCGGTAAATTGAGTCCATAATGATCTAGCATAAATGAGAGAAATTTAAAAAGCCAAAGGTGTGATGCTTAAGAGAAAGAGGTGGAACATGTAAACGTATATGCAGGCTTCTGAAGGGATCACTGGGGGACTGACAGAGCACTTTTACTATATGCTTTAATTCTAATAAACCACACAATTCCTGAAGAAAACTGCAATCATCATTATCTTGTTTTGCCCTCTGCTGGTCGTCAGTCGCAGTATCAAGAAGAGCTGACCTCACTTCAGAAACGTCTCTCCACGTAAGTGCCACATTACTACAATATGCTTCATGTAATATTGCTGAGACTTAATTGAGCGTGTGAGGATTTTATTTCTTCTGACTGTGAAATGGGGCTGGTAACTGTTAGCCTCATCCTCCAAAATATGTGGTCTGTGTTACAAATACTGAGATTGTTGAAACCTCTGCAAGTTTAAACTTTACCCTACGCAGCAACTCCAACTAAGACAGAGGGTAAATGGCTGAGAAGACCCTGAGGCAAAACAAGATGGTGATTTTATACAGGAGAATAGATGCATTCAAAGGCAGCGGCCCATTACATTCACCTAAAGTCCTAAAATACCCAGCAAATGTTGCCAGCAAAAGCCTATTTCATCCACCAGGGGAGAAAGTACCTTTATCCTTGTATTACCAAAGACCATCCGATTACCAAGGAGGTTAATACCCTGTTATTACTGCCAGTTATTGCCAGTTCAAGTGGTTTGAACACTCTAGAGCTCTTGCACTGTCAGTTATTCTTCACTGATGATGCTGGAGGCTGGAAGCAAGTATTCAGACAGGATTTTTCTTATTTTAACTAAGATGATAGAACCCATCCATCAAAAAAAAAAAAAAAGGGGGGGGGGGGTTGCCAAGATCAACATTCAGCAAAATAAAATGCTAATGTTGCCCTGATCTGCTTTCCTTCTGTTTATACTTTTTCTGTGTAGTCTCCAATTATATGATCACATTGCATATTTTCCATAGGGCCCTCCCAGTGCAAAACATGGGCAGGGCTCTAGGAATGGAGTGGGAAGAAAGGGGGCAAGGTTCTGCCTGTTCTCTTCAGCAGCTGGTTTGGCATGTTAGGAGCCAGGGCAACAACACACTAGAAATTATCAAATTATCTGAAAGGCTCTGAAGAACTGAATTCTCTCCCTGCTTCTGCCCCAAGTTTCCATGCAATACCATCAACCAAATCTTAAACATCTGGACAATAAATACACACTGCTCCTTTTCCATGCCTCCCATCCCTAATATGAAGCGTTCCAGAACAGGCACTGGCATTTTTGTAAGCCACAACTGCAATCAAAGTCAATGGGTTTTACACACTGTTCATTATGGGTTGAAGGATGGGCAAAAAAAAAAAGACATATAGTGGACTGCATTTTCCTCAACTCTGTTCCCTTCTTCTAAGTGGAATAAACAGTTTCCTTGAGCATGTGACAACAAAAACAGAGGCACTGGGTGAAACAACATGAACAGAAATGCATTATATGCAAATTATAAATAGTCTGTATTAAAAATAAAGCCCAAGGCTATATAATATTAACAAAAAATAAAAACATTAATCAACTAATTAATCACCGAGGGAAGAAACCAGGCATGCCTCATCTTACCTTCAGAAAAATCAAGAAGGGCCCTTCTATCTCTACTGCATAAAATACTGTGATCACAGCTCAATGCTGTAATTAAGGATTACAGAAATGTTGTAAATGGAGAGATAAATCTGGCATTTCTTTACTTTGAAGTGGTATCTTTTCAGATTGGAAGCATGGAGTGCACATGTAGCTGTAGACATAAACTCTTTACAGTACTTCTTGCAAGTTTTCTTTTCCATATAAAGGCAGACACAGTATTGCTCACAAAACATTCTTTTGCTTTTGTATTATGCACCAACAAGCAATTCAGAATGTAGCTAAAATAAGAGCATAAAAGAAAAATAGAGCAGGACTCTGCAGTTCTTCAGGAATCATTATGCACTGTTCCAAGCAAATAAAGTTTTTCTTAATTCACTTGGATGCGAGCCAGGAAAGAAATAAACAGAAAGCACCTTTCCCAACATAGCTTCGAGCATGGCTGGTCATGTTAGGGAATGAATCCTTGCTCCCACAGACACTAACAGCAGTTAAAGGCAACGCGCTCTGCTTTCCTGGCAGCCATTCCCCGGTGCTGTGAAATACCATATGCAGAAGTACTTTCTATGGTGCTGATCCCATGCTGGCATAAAGCTGCATTTAGAAAAGTCTGCTTGAAGTTTCTCTCCCAGTAATAAGGCTTTTAAGCAGTATTTATACATATGCAATTGGACCTGGCTGTGAGTAAACTGCTTCCTGTACATACATGTAAGTATAATATTCTAACAGAAGTAGTTGTAATATTTAAAGGGTTTGTGTGGTGGTTTCTGCTGGTTTGATTTCTTTTTTTTAATACATTTAAACTCTCAAAGTAAGTAAAGGTAAAATATTTGAACTTAAGTACACAGCTGTAAGTCTTCTAACAACACATACGCACAATGCTTTGTGAAGCCTAGCATCAGTTATGTTTAATTAAACAAATAAAAGGGAAGGAATCTCACATGTTCTAGATGAATATGGGCCTGGCTGGCAATGTCATAAATTACATCTCTCACATTTTTCTCTTGCTTGCCTCTTATGAAATCCTCTTGTGAAACTCCATGCTAGATATAGGAAGGAAAATCAAAAAAGACAAAAACCCCTCAATAAATATCAAGTTTCCATTTTAGTTTCTCAAAATCCTGTCCCAGCAACCGAACTAATGACATGAGACTGAAACAGCCTAAATGTTTTACCACTGCCCTTTTTAATTCCACAGGCATTTTTTGGCTAGTCACTTGAGAAAAAAATATCAAGATAACAAAGAGAATAGTTAGTGCAGACTCTCTCTGCGTGAACTTGTCCCCTGAAGGCTCTGTGGTCAGATAACCAACTCAGATTTTAAAGTTTTGTGAATTTACATCAGTTTAGATGCTCAATTTTTAAAACCAGAACCCAAGAATCAGTATTAGGCAGAAGAAAGCCAGTAACAGCTAACACAGAAGCCACCTGGCTTAGGAGGCAAGTCATTATCTTAGGATCGCTGTGCACATCCAAGCCTGCCAAAAACAAAACCCAACCTAAAAAACCCCAACAAAACCAACCAACCAAAACTAAACCCAAACCCACTGCCAAAACCGAACCAAAGAACCAGAACCACCAAAAACCCCACCCCCCGAAAAAAATAACCAACCCCAGACTTATTCTTTGATCACAGTCTTTGATCGGTCTAAGACATAATATGGTGTATCACAGCTGCACCAGTTGCCTGTTCTCAGCCACACTCAGGCATATGAAAGCTGTACAGAGCCAGACAGGTAGGCTTCAAAGGAGGTAGAGACTCCAGTAGAACTCTGTGACGCTTGCCAGCAGCTGAAATGCTTACAGGATGCTCAGTCTGCACAGAAGGGATGCAAGCTGTTTTTACAGTTTCACTGTAAAACACCTTCCGTGGCAAGCAATGACTGTGAATTTTCAAGCTATGTTTGACAAACTAAATACTTGGAAGGCCTTCCATAGCATCCAGTTCCAGAATGGCTGAAAGCAGGGTGCTGCTCCTTTCTCCTAACCCTGACCTATATTAGTATCTATGTTTTTGCAACTACCTGAACTACTCAACTTCAAATCAAAACTTTCAATTGTATTGAAATGATAATCAGAAAATACTACCACAAATGGCTTAAGCAGCACCATAATTATATATATTTTGGTTAAAAATAAAAAGAACAGCATTAATGTTTAAAGACTGCAGATGAAGGAGTAACAGCTGAGATACCTACAGATGTAGCCAGAGAACATTAATTAAACATTTTAATCTTTAATCCCATTTTACCCAAATTGTAAGACCTGCTAAATTCCAGTGCAAATTAGGTGTACAGTCTGAACTGCAGGATTTGCAGGACTACACTGTCTTATACAGCAATATATGGAATGTATGCTTATAACTCTCACATATGTAACAAAAAAAAACAAACCCAACCAAGCCCCAAAAAACACCCAAATCCACCAGCACATTTATGAAACGATAGCAAAGAGAAACCCGAGGATGTGGTTCAGAAGTAGGATTTCTCACAGTGCTTCCTTCATGGGGATAGGAAAAGAAAAAAGACAAAAACAAAATAAAGCAAAGCAACAACAACAGCAAAAAGGCACCTTTCCATATGTGTACTTCTACACATTGATCTTCTACACGTTTTGTTCCTGGCCTAATAATTTATGATCTCATACCTAGCATTGAGACACCAAGTTAGAAACACTATCCTGTGCAATTCCAGACAACTTGCTTCTCTTACCAACATACAAATGTCCATGGGAAGAAAGACCTTTTGTCTTGTACAGTGATACGGAGTGGCTCTTAAACAGGTAACTATGCCTTGTGCTTTCCCAATGTGACTGGCTGCATGGTCAGCATGGACATCCTTCACACCTAAAATTGCAGAAATAATATGTTTAGAAACACCCTGTCAGGACTTTTGAGGGGTATAGTCTTTCCTGATGTGTATCGCAGTCATATTTAAGGAAAGCTAAGTGCATTGGTCCATGATAAACTGTTCATAAATTGCCTTGAGATCTCATCTCAGAGGCGCAAAGCAGAAGGCAAACTCACTGACTTCCACATTCAGGAGCAAGATACCTCTTAGCTTGTTGCAGTTTCTGCAAAGGGTATACTTAGCAGAGTAGCACCGATTCAGATGCAACACATCAGTACACATACATACACATGTTCATTGTCATGTCTTTTCCCAGGATAACAGCATTCCAAGAACAGTTTTTTCTGCCAGAAAAATAATTCAAGTGTGAGATCCCTGGCAAGCATTAATGCTTACAGCATGGCTTCATGATTAGCTGCAGCCAATTCAGCAGTATACTGAAGCCCAAGAGAATGGTTCTTCACTTATGCCCCCTGCTCCAAACCTGTATTTCTGCTGCCTCTCTTGTGCTGTCATGGGCAATGAGGCAGTAGCATGGCAAACTGAATCTGATCACCAAAGCAACTGAACATTTCTTCAGTCAGATGTTCAGAAAGAGACTTGCAACATTTAACTGATTTCATACTATGGAAGTGAACATCAGATGTTAAGAGAGAGGTTCCTCATTTCTTCCAAAAAAGAATGTGCTCACCATATCTCTCTTTCTACTTGTCTCTCTTTTTCACTTTTCAAGCTGTTTTAACCTCAGCATTGGCCTTCCATTGGACTACTCTGATAAGGAAGAGGAATATATAGCTACTATAATACTAAATACTACTAAATAATAATAATTCTCACCCTTCTTTTATATCTGAAGTCATACAGGGAGTAAGACTTCTGTAATGCAACAGACACCTAAAGGAACCTTACCTTTTTCTCCATTGCAAACAAACAGTCCTTTCCCCTTCTGTGACTCTTCTATTAGACATGACACAGATACTAGCTCTTAACCACAAGGGTCCTATCATCTTTGTTGCATTTTTTCTAGCTATTCAATCATTGAGAGTTAACCTATTTTCAGGAAGAGGAGAGGATTCAGATCCAAATGTACATCAACAGCAAGGAAAGTTGGAAGTCAGCTGTTTCAAGATAACCAGTGTGTATCACTGCAATATAGAACAACAGCTGCAGAATAAACTACAGCACTTCGCGTTCTGATAAGTGGGACAATCAGAAAACATGGTGCAGAGCTGAATTTACCACAAGGAGCAAGAAAAGAGAAAACAAAGTAACAAACAAGATAGCAGTAGGAAGCTGCACTTCAATGAGCTTTCCTCTGAGCAGCTTCTAAGGAAAGTACAGAGTTCTAGGACAGGTGTGGTGCGATTCCAGATTTATGGTTTAGCATTCAAAAGATATCTGAAGTATCATCTAAGACAACTTCTACTGAAATTAAACTCCAGTGGAAAAACAGCAGGCTTTTCATAAACACCAGTAAATATTGTACCTGCACCTGGAGTCACCCACAAAATTCAAAAGAGGAAAATGCCTACCCAGCATTTCCAAGGTGAGGTACAAGAGAGCACTCTGAGTGTTCTCAGCATACTTCTCAAGCTCCTGGATGTTACGGTATGCCCTGTCATCCAAATTCTTCTCCTGTAATATGAACACAGAACTTCAGTAAAACGTAAATAGAACTGCTATTTGCACAAGTTTATTACTACAGTCATGACAGCCTAATTCACTATTAGACTAAAAAAAGGACAAAATTAAGAGATAGAAAAAGAGCATAAAATTAGACATAAGTACTTATAGCAAGTCTAACATACCAAAGTAACTACATGCAACTGCAGCCAAGTGTAGTTACTGGAGCAAATATAATTTTTTGCAATAATAAGAAATCAGAATTCTTCATAAAAAAAAAGATACAGCCAGAACAAAACATCGTATGACATTCTTACGGTATGGGGTTGCCAATTTTAATACTTAATTTTCATCAGAAGCACAGAGAAATTTAGATAAATAGGAATGTATTTCTTAAAACATGCACTGAAATCAATCCATCAAATACACACAAGTTTCAAAGTCTCATGCAAATACACCTAAAACCATAACATCCTCCATCATTCTTCCTGTCCTAGTGGCTCTTATTAAAACATACCAGTCTTACAATTAAAAAACCCCTCTGAAACAGGAATGACACTCCACAAGTAACTGACCATCAATCTTCTCAAGGCATAACTTCATGAGACACTAGCTTTAGCAGCTAAAGCTAGCTTGAGAAATCCCTGCCCTCAGCTATTCATTCTCGCCCTTTCAAGCACCACTGTACCAGTGAAACTATTCCTCTCAGGTTTTTTCCCAGAAAAAGGGCGGACATTTTCAAATGAATGTGATTGGAATGCTCTTATTTACAGCATTGCTTAGAGAAAACTCCACAGCCACGTATGGTGGAAAGGTTCAGACGGGTCATTTAATTTTTGAGATTTCATACCCATGACTCACCACTACAGAAGGTTATCCAGGGGCAAAATTGACATTGAAAAGTCAACAAAAGTGAGGAAGAATAAGATGATGCCAATGCAATGTAGTTTTCCAAAATTCTTAACAGTTGCATGTAGAGACCTTACTACTTAATCCTGTAGGATGGAACTTCCCTCACTTACGTACAGAAAGGTATCTGTGTAATTCCCAACAGATTACCTCTAGGGGTAACCATTTGAAATCAGGTACAGAGACCAGCAACAGAAAACATGAGCACAGATATTACCAGAGCAGAGAACAAGAAAATGTGGACTCACAGCCTACATCTATTTTAAAGCAAAAATAAACAAAGGATTCTATTAGCTGTTTTGGCTAGAAAGGACAGAAATTATGAGCAGGGGTATCAAAAAGGAAATACAGCAGTACCATTCCTAAAGAGAAATACTACTGTCTGGAAAAGAGTAACTACTTAAGCTTTTGTTTTACACACAAACACACAAAAATAAGAGGGAAAAACCAAACTATGACTAAAACCAGAATCAGACTTTGAATGGTAAACACTTACTCTTTCATCAATGATCCTCATAAACCACATTTTAGTCAAGTTATGCCTCTTCACAGCCTGAAAATGATCAAATAAAACATCCGTATTAATGTATAGAAAGTGATGATAGGAGTACGCTCTGAATGAAGGCTGAAATGTATTTTAGATAATACTTTTCTTACAAGGATTGTATTTACTGGATTAAATCGAAGTGGAAAGTTAGAATTTTCTTCAAATACAAAGATTTTCAACTGGCATTTGTTACAAAGCTGTTGCACACAAAAAATGCTGGCCCCCAAGCCAGCTAAGTGAAAGCATCTATTTAAAAATAGCTTTTGAAAGTCATTTATTCTTTTATGATACATTTCCACAAAATATTTGCAGATAATTATGTTCACTTTCAAAAGAGTACACAGGTTCCTTGGGAGTCAAGCAATAAGAAGACTTCACCTGTAAATGTTCGAGAAAACATCAGTACAACATACCAATATATAGTGCAAAGACAGCATCCTCATCAAGTAACACAATGAATATTATGGGTTTATTTAAAAAAGTATCCCACAGCATCTCATAATTCCACATTCTTCTTTGGCTCTGATCTTGTATTTGACTTCCTTCCTATACCATTTCATTCTATCCAATTTACCTTCAATCCTCTTACGCAGGCTGAATTCTGCAGATCACCTTGTCAGAAAGGCTGCTATCACACATATAGATACGTATAAACAAAATTTATGTAGCAGATTTCTCACAATCTCAGTCTCTACAGCTCACTTTAAACTTCTTCTTTATATCCATTATATTTGCAAATATTTTTTCAAGGTTTGTCAAGGCTAGATCTTCTTGTAGATTCAAGCAAATCTGCTTGAGGAAGCATTTGGTACGTGAAAAGGCTAATTTTAAGTTACAACTACAAGCATCCATTGTGCTTCTCACTTGTCTTGAGCATTATTTTGTAAATTAAATCCTTGAAACAGTCACAGGTCAAGACTTGAAGCACCAAACTGAGTTCTCCTAAGTTTCCTGATTTGTAACATTAGATTTATTTTGAGCTACCTTCACTCAAACACACAGGTCCTCATTTTTCAAGTTCCAGCAATTGGCTTCTTCCACTGAAATGGTGAATTAGGCCTCATTCTTCATGTTAAAAACGGACAGATAAGACCAAGTATCATACAGTTGTTACATAAGTTTATATTAAAGTCGTTGAGAGATGAGCTATTATTAATCCTAGAAATACTATTAAAGGCTATTTATACACTTCACTAGTGCATAAAACTCTTGGAATCCAAATGTGAGTATTCTGGGATATACAAAACTTCAGGAACACATTTAACGTGACAAATTAGTATTTATTCTGGAAATTCAAAATTGTCCTCACAGAAACTCAACAGCATGAAAACAGTGATAAAATCTGATGTGCTAAATTCCATTAATGGCTCTGCAATACTTGGGAGCTCAGGTGTCTTTCCAAATCTTTATTTCTAAGAACTGCAATGACACTCTGGAACATTTGTGAAGCCATGCTCTTCAAACAGGTCATTCCTGGGGTATTTGCTGAAACGTAGAAATAAAATCACATCTTGAGTGCAAAGGTCACCACATCAGGTTGGACTGTTAGTTCGCTCCAGCACTCAGCAGCATTCGGAGCTACCAGAGCTCCTAGAAACACTTTCTGAATTATTTCCAGGTATCTCCTTTCACAACCAGTTCTGTTTGGATTGTCTTATATTGGTTTTCCTTTAGGGAAATGATATGTGAAGTGAAATCTTACCAGAGAGGGGCCAATTCTTTCTTCCACTTCAAAATCAATTTTCTGTTTTGTGAGAAAGGAGTATGACTGGTAGTCTTAGCTGTTGGGAAGGGCTGCAATTGATACCTCAATAGAAGAATGATTCCCATCTAAATGTTGTACTGGTTTTGGCTGGGATAGAATTAGATTTCTTCATAGCAGCTTATATGGGGCAATGTTCTGGATTTGTGCTGAAAACGGGGTTGATAGCACACTGACATTTCCTCACTGCTGAGCAGTGGTTACACAGCGTCAAGGCCTTTTGGGCTGCTCACACCGCCCCACCAGCAAGCAGGCTGGGGGTGTACAAGAATCTGGGAGGCAACACAGCTGGGACAGCTGAGCCTGACTGACCAAAGGTGTATTCCATACCATATGACATCATGCTCAGCAATTAAACTGGGAGGGAGGTTGGCCAGGGCAGGGCCTCTACTCAGAGACTGGTTGGGCATTAAAACACACACCCCACATTGATGCACACACAAGCAGCCTGAAATTAAAACTGGTCCAAAGAATATATACAATCATATCCAAAACAACTTGTACCTAAGCCACTCAATTAGACCACTACATGAGTGGGTATCTTCAGAAATAAAAATAAATTAAGCTACAGTAAAGCAAGTTCCTCCTTGGAAAGGAGACAAAACCATTTCGGGAGAAAACAGTCTTCTTCCTGGGAAGCTTGCCATGTGCTGGAAGAGAGACAGAAAGAAGGAAATAAAAAGCAAAGGCACAGAAAGATTGACATGCCAAATGACCAAATCTGCATTTTAATGCCTGCATTAAAATACCACCCTAGGTGCATCTTCAACTCCCACAAACCCATAAAAAGGTTCACAACATTTGCCACTCTTCAGTCTAACTGTATGAGCTGGAGACACCTATGAATAGTTCTGCTCCTCCTAAAAGTGACTGCAACAAGTGTTTTATTTTACTTTTTTGCTTTACTGATGTTTTCTCCTAGTCAAACAAAGTGTATCTTGTTAAAATCCCAATTTAATCTAAACATGAGTGTTGACAGACAGGAACAAATGCTCACTTATGCTTTATTTCACATTTGAAGGAGGAAAAGTCAGGGAGAGGCCACATTTTCAGCACTGCCAAAATCATTGAAAGAGGATTTGAAAAGGCCTCATTTCTGTGGTCTCAGAGGTGGAGCAGCGTGGATATGAGATGGTCTAATCCCACAGGAACTGTGTTGTTCTAATCCAGCATTACAGTAAGTGTCCTGCTTTTCCCAGGATTTTAACAGAAACAACGCAGATGAATAGTTGGGTGAAGACCAGACATTTCACTGCCTGCTTTTCAGGAGGCCCATAAACCTACCTACAGGGTCTATGTTAACTGTATTCAGCTATTGAGATCTACACAAAGAGCAGCTTTTCCTGTTCAGGAGCTCAGAGATCTTTAATTTAAATGCAAGTTCTGGTCTTATAGAGGCCTTATGGTATCTGCTCGTTTCAAAGGTTCTAAGACTTGCTGGGCCCTAAGATAACAAGTTAGCAATGTATGGAATTTCCATCCATGAGGAAATTAAAAACTTAACTCAGTGTGACCCTGACAACCTGATCTAAGTTTGATGTTACCTTCAAGTGTCAAGTTGGACTAGATGACAAGGGAGTCCAACCAACTACATTATTATGTGATTCTGTATCAGCATCAAGGTAAAATCCACTTACGCTGCCTTCAGACCTTCAATCATCCATCAGACATACCAATGATGGTCCTAACTAGAAACAAAAATTTTGGGTGAAAGCCTCTGTTTCTTCGGCCATGACCAGCAGAGGAACAGATCTACAGATGTACAGATCTACAGATGAGTTACGTTCCAGTGCCTGCAAAACTCAGGCACCTTGGCAAAAAGAAACTGTTAAGTTCACAAGTACATTCCCTGTTACTCAATGCATTAAGTTCACAAGTACATTCTGCTACACAATTCACACAAAAGGATCTGTGCAAAACATAATACACAAACAGAAGTCATCGAGCAACTCTTGATGGGATGAGAAGACTGTATTAAGAGCCTCCCTACTACCCAGTAACTTCATATTAAACTCTTGAGCTTTTCCTCATACCCTACTTGCTACTTCAACCTCTGTGCTTAGCCTCTTATCTTTTTGTACAGCTTAATCTCTTCAGGTAGGACTAGCAGTGGCTCAGAAAAGTATACTTATGCACTTCACTTTGTATCAGTTTATAGTTTATCACAATTTACTCTGTCCTTCATCTAAACAGAAGAGAAAAAAGCAGATGGTTCACAGAAGTCTGACCCTCCAACTAGGTCTTAAATACCCTTCTTCTTCAACTCTGCTCTTTGGTTGTAGGCAACTTACAATATCAGACACAGACACAAGCACAATTTACATTATCTGTTTTATATAAAATAATGCTGTTAACTATGCAACACAGTACACACAAAAAGATGTCATCATATCTCACAGTAATATTTTAGTTAAGTGAACTGTAGGGCAATAAAGGTGTACTTTACCCTCCACAGTTCCATAGCAATCGGCTGATGTGGTGGGTTATCACAGTATATGCCTTCCACAGCATCCCTCCAGAACTGCATTCGCATCAGACCGGTAGTCTTCTGAGTTATGGAGTCTTTAATCTGGAAAGGATACATCTAGAGTGAAATTCAGCATCTTTAAGGCACCTGGCCTATCTACACAGTAAGAGAGACACAGCACAGCCAAAATCAGCAGGGAAAATGCTCTGTTCTGAATTCACAATTATCCACAGAATCATTAGGATTGGAACGGACCTCTGGAGATCATCCAGTCCACCCCCCTGCCAAGGCAGGGCCACCTACAGCAGGTTACACAGGAACATGTCCAGGTGAGTTTTGAATCTCTCCAGAGAGGGAGACTTCACAACCCCCCTGGTCAAGCCTGTTCCAGTGCTCTGCCACCCCCAACATAAAGAAATTCTTCCTCATGTTGAGGTGAAACTTCCTGTGTTTTAGTTTATGGCCATTGTTCCTCATCCCTTTGCTGGGCACCACTGTAAAGAGTCTGGCACCATCTTCTTGGCACCAGCCTTTAAGATATTTATATGCATTCATAAGATCCCCTCTCAGTCTTCTCTTCTCTACGCTAAACAGGCACAGCTCCCACAATCTCTTCTCACAAGAGAGATGCTCCAGACCCCTGATCATGCTTGTGGCCCTGCTTTCCTCATAAAGCATATAAAACTACACAGTAAAAAAATCTTCACTCCACCTGACTTTGAAGCCCATGGAGGTTAAGTCCTGTGTGACCCTCACCTTAGCTGTCTTCCCAGAAGGAAAAGAAGCAGCGGTAACAGCAGTGAGGGTGGGCAGCGCAATTGGTTGCCAGCACAGCCCACAGAAGTTGTTCAGGGGCTCTGCTTGTTCAGCACATTTCTTGGACCACTCCTTTCTGGCAAGCATTACCAACTTTCCTGGTTGCACTGGCAGTTTCTGGCCACCTGTACATTCTGTTACATGTGGCCACCTGGCAAAGGGGAGAGACTGGAGCCACGTCCCTCCCGCAACTCTCTAATGACAAACTTCCCTCCCCACAGCCTTTGCATCATGTAGCTGTTGCCAACTGATTATATCATCCAACTTTTTGACAGAACTTCTACAGATAAGATTTAGCTGCACTTAATTGATTGAGTCACTGCATTTGGAGCCAGGACATAGATGCAATCATGTAAAAGCATCAAGGACCACAGCCTGTTTGTTATCATTCAATTTTAAAACGCATGATGAAGAGGAAAGTCAGCAAAACTATATACATAAACAAACCAAATTGGGGAAGGCTGGCTACTTTCCATGGGCCATTCAAAATTAGAGGTTTGTACTGCACTATTGAAACTGTCATTTTACACTTTCAGAGTTCACAAATGTATTTTAATACCTGCCTGAGCCAGTTCCACATTGAAGGCTCTCAAGGCAAAAGCAGAGGTTCGAGATTCCGCAGGCAAGAGCAGAGAACACAGAAACCCTTCATAGTCACGTTTTCTGTGAAAGGATGAAATAAATACAGATATTACTTATAGGTCTATGTAAATCGGATGTGGTGTGGCTTAGCACTGAACTCCTAAAATAATAGCAAAAAGTTACAGTTCAAAACTCTGACTTTGCAAAAGTAGCAGCTTTTAAGCTTATTTTAAAATAAGACAAACTCCAAGAGAGAGAGGATGCTGCCTGAACAACCTGTGCACCTCTCAAATCCAGATCTCCATATATGTGGCTAAAGGCATGGAACGAGGCTGTGGCATATCTGCAAATAGAATCCAGATTGTCCAACTTCCAGACTTCTGTTCCAAACATGAAACCACATTTCTTTAAAAGCTTGTGCTTTGGAGCTTGGCAGAAGAGCGCTTGCTTAACCAGTAAGGTTTTGTATATTGGCAACTATATTCAAAACATAAGCACTCTGGGTCTTGTCAGATTCACCACAGATAACTGGTTGCCAGTCTAGAGTGATATGCCTTTGCTTGGCCACTTGGGTGTGCCATTAAATTAAAAACAATCACAGTGCACAGATCATGGATTGTGAAACCATACATAACCATAGCTAACGAAGACACTTGGTCACCTCTGGAAAGCTGAATTGTGTGTTTTGAACAACATTTTGGTGTACTTTGATAAGCCTGTAACCTGATTCCTCATTAGAACAAGACCAGCAACTCAAAGTCTCACTTTGAGAGTGCAGAAGCAGGTGCCAAGGAAAAGACATTTACTTGTTTTCATGAAGTCCGCTGTTCTTGCATGTACTCGTACTTCTTTTGAACATGAGCTTAAAACAGCAAGGTCAAACTAAAACCACAGGTTATTAGGGTTGCTACTTTTAGCATCAAACAAAGAGGATCTGAGATTTAACAGCAGTTCTTACCCCTACAATATGCAGCAGCTGACAACCAGCAGATGCTTTAGAGTTTTCACAACAGTTGTGAAACTCGTTTCAGAGCTCCATGCAAATACAGAAGCATCAACAAAAAACTTACATCTATTAATTCTAGCAGGCTGTAAAGATCACCTTCATATCAAAGAACAGATGCGTTAAACCTCCCTCAAGACACTTTCTGAAAAGTATTACCAGCTCAAAACCTAGTACGTTTTTCAAGGCTGACTGCAGTAATACTGTATTGCCCACCCTGGGCAGAGCTGCAACATTTACAGACACATTTCCCAAGTCCCAGTTACATACTTTGCCTGGGTTATTCAAACACAAAACCACCTCTACTTCCAGAAAGGAAACAAAGAAACATATCACACAAAGAATACAGCAGCACAATAGAGAAATTTGTCTTCCCTACAGTAATGGTGTTGGCATGTTGGTTTGCTGTTTTGGTTTTCAATGACTCTAAGCTTAAAAATTAAACGTAGCAGAAAAACAGTTAAGAAAAAAAAAGGCAGAAAGAGATGTGAATTTCTTCTGGACATTAACAGCAGAAAAGCAAATCCATTAAGCCTCAGCCTGTAAAGTAAAATTTATATTATTATAGATCATGTTCTACCCCAAATCTCTTTGTGTAAGAAATGAAGAAAGGACGGAATAACCTTAAGTCTGCTATTGAGTATTTTTCAGTTTCCCTCTCAAGTAAGTACAAGTTTACCCATGAACCTACAGATCGAAGAAAAGTTGGCTATGACCATTACTGGACTTTCAGCGTAATCGGTTTCTTCCACGTTATAAACTCCACAATACCATCACGCCACAAGTTTGTCTTCCAGAGCAGACATCATAAACAGCAAGAGATAGAAACCTTACTTACTAGGGAAACACATTTTTAATCCATTAGCTTAAAGCTACATTTAAGAGTTGTTTAGCAGAAAAAGGAAAACCGAACAGAAAGGACATCTTGCATATTGAGAGAAGTGGCACAAATCTACATCATTAAATTGTAACTCAGTTGTTCAACCCAATGCGTGGGAGACTCAAATTCAGGACTGGTGAGTTACTGATGCTTGCATAGCCTCAAGCATTTTATTTCTGCTTGAAGAGCAAGTCCTTCCTCTTACTTTTTACAACGTGATTCCCATACAAGGTATCAGCTATTGTGAACAGCAGCTTCAATTAAATGATGTCAAAAGCATAACCACCTTTCATATTATTATTTTTGAATGCTTGTGTATTCTTACAAGTAGTCCTTTTTGATCTAACAAAAAAAAAAGTTTAAATTGAACTATCTCAGCTCTTGTGCCTTGGAACCTTATTATTTTGCTCACAATTGTTTGTGAAAACATTTTACCTGTATATGCTAACTTTACATGTGTATTAACTGTACACACAGCCTCTGATCTCCCCAGTAACAGGTAAACAAATGCTGGGTAGAGTAACAAGGAAAAGCAAGCTGTAATCTCAAGTTTTATTATGGAAAATGCAACCTGGCTATGCATTCTGACGCATCAGTAAAGGCCTGCTGCTTGGTGCTGCCCAGGAAATTTAAGGTTGTCCCACTCTTTCTATACATGCTTGGACGCCTCCTCCCTGCTTTGGTCAACCATCTAGAACAACTGTATATGAAGAGAAATTACTTAAGTCTTTACAAACAGACTTGTTTAACTGTCTACTTGGTACCTCTGAACTCCTGTGGACTAGAAAGCAGCTATGGGGCCCTGTATGTTGTTCACAGCCCAGAAGCCAAGCAGGTAACACTGGCTGGCCTGGAAGTGTCTGAGCTGCGCTCCGGCTCCTCTTGGAGCATTTCGGATTTGACCAAAAATGGATGCTTTTGACAACACGGGCCTCTCCCGTCCTGCA